TGATGTGGGAAACTGAGGACCTGGGAGGAAGTGTCAGCGGCTTAATCTCTAAACTTGTGGCCACAGGGCTTGGAAAACCAGCACTCGTGTTTAGAGGAAGGCCTAGTGTCCTTAGTATCCACAGCACCCAGGTGACAGAGCCAAAGGCACACATCCTCCAGATGGCTCTTCAGTCCACCCTCCATCAAATGGTAAGCGGTCTCCTACAGAAGTCTGGCTTCTCGCTTGCTTCTCACGTGGACAGTTACGGGATCCCTATCTCCAAGGGTATCTGGTGCCTGCTGTCCTTTATTCTTAGAGGGCGGCTGACACCATTTGTTTCTCACCTGCCAGGCACTTCCTCTGAAGTGTCCCCCTAGGGGGCTCAGGATATTCAAGATGAACACATTGCCCGATTCATTGTAACAAGAGGCTTGCAAGGCCCGTTACTATCAAACTTTATCACTGAAAAAACTCAAGGCTGCTCTTCTCCCAATAGCGGAGATCAGTCCCCTGTGCCCTGCTTTCCAATCTCCTTTTTCTCTGTAATTGCACACCTAGCTCCTAAGCACCCACGTGACTGTGGGGTGGAGCCCACAGGTGGACGCGCAGCGACTACAACAGGCTCAAACCTAACAATGGTGAGGAGAGCACGTTCTGTTGTACACGGTGTCACCAGGAGTCAGAACCGACACAGCGGCACCTGCCACCACCACCACCCGGGCATTTGGTGGGAGCTGCATAGATGATGGCTAAAAGAAACCCACCACAATCATTAGCATCCACAGGGTGCTGCAGTCACTGACCGGACCGCACAGACACCCAATAACCCTCCATCTTCACACGAGGCACGGACACCCCACAGCTGTCCTCCTTCCTGACCTCCCCCCTCAGCATCTGTCAGTCTGTCCTACTTCGGAGGCTTGTATGCTGCTGGGATGCTGGGAGCTAAGCCACTCGCATTTCTTTTTCTTCTCTCTCTCCCTCCCTCCCATCCCCCCGCCCCCCTATTTCTAATACCAGCATAGTTACCCATGGAACAAATGTCAATGGAGTATCCAGACTAAGAAAAGACTACAAATATAGAGTAAGTTATCCACTTCCGAGGGACTGACCACTGAAACCCTTATGAACAGCTGCAGAACAGTGTCTGACGGAGCGAGCGCCGGGAGAGGAGCCCCTCAGGTGGGAGGGCATTCAAATTACAAGCGAGGCGGGATTGCCTCCTCAAACATGGAAAGTAAGAATCTAGGAAAACTGGAAGTCATTCAACATGAAGCAGAACACACAAAGATCGATAGTATATATATATATTGGCGAGCTGAATTGGATGGTGATTGGCCTCTAAATTCAGCAATCATAGAGGTTACTATGCTGAGAATGACAAATTCAAGAGAAATCGTGTTACATTAATTATCAGAGACCATTTTAACACCTATCTATATGTGCAAAGCTGTCTGTAATAAAATCATACCCAGAGGCCTACAAGGAAGACTAGTTAATAGAGCTATTATTCAAATTTACACACCAACCACCAACGCCAGTGAGGCTGAAATGAAAAACTCGGGAATTCTACCAACTTCTTGCGACTGGAATGGAGCAAACACGTCACCGAGGTGCAGTGATAAGTACTCTGGGTTGGGTGGAATGCCGGCGTTGGGATAGGCAGTTGGAAAACCAGGCCGCAGTAGCAGGAACAAAGCTAGAGAATGCAGGGCAGGATGTTGCTCCGTCGGTCACTTTTGCGTGGCAAATGCCTTTTCTAAGCCACACACACCGCGACGATGCACTTGGGCCTCACCGAATGGAACGCACAAGGAGCGACGCGATACATCTATGAGAAGAAATGAAGGCCAACACAAGGCCAAAGGTCAAGTTTGGAGCAGCTCATCCATCGCTCCCACGCATGTTCAGGTCAAAACGGGATTTAAACAAAACCACAAGAGCCAAAATACAACCTTGTGTATAACCCACCTGAAGTAAACAGATGTGACACGATGAACACTAGATGCCAAACAAATCATGGACGGCATCGACGATATCATACATGAAGAAAGCAAACGGCCATTAAAAATGTAGAGAAAAGGGATCAAAGTGGATGTCTGAAGAGGCTCTAAAATTTGCTTTGAAACGCACAGCAGTTTAAGCAAATAGAAGAAATGAAGTAAAGGGGCCAAAAAAGAAAATCATGTAACACTGTAATATAAAACAATTTCTTATGAAGTGAAAAAAAACGGAACAGAAATTTCCAAAAAGATAAAGTAACGCATTTGCAGCAAGAATAACCAACAAACTAAACCAAACTTACTGTCACCCAGGACATTCTGACTCATAGCAACCCTATAAGACCAGCGGTTCCCACTCTGTGGGTCGCGACCCCTTTGGGATCGAACAACGCTTTCACAGGGGTCACCTGATTCATAACAGTAGCAAAGTTACAGTGATGAAGTCACAACGAAAATACTGTTATGGTTGGGGTGGGGGGTGGGGTCACCACCACATGAGGACCTGTATGAAAGGGTCGCAGCATGAGGCAGGTTGGTAAGAAAGAATAGATCTGCCCCATGGGCTTCCCAGGCTGTAAACCATTACAAAGGCAAGTCTCGTCTTTCTCCCATGGAGTGGCGGTGGTGCAAACTACTAAGCTCACAGTTAGCAGCCCAGTGTAAAATAAACTACGCCACCAGGGCTTGGTGAAATTAAGGTTACTGGAATAGCTCTCCTACCCAGGCAGAAACCCTTGGCATGTTGGCATGCTGAGGATCAGAGAGACAAGCTGTGTCTGCCAGCAAGGCTGAGAAGAGACACTGCTGCAGATGGAAGAACTGTATCCTTCATGTTTCCTGATCTTTTTGTGTGTTATGTTTTATTTTATTATTTTTTTTCTTTTTTAACATTTTATTAGGGGCTCATACAACAGTTATCCCAATCCATATACACATCAATTGTGTAAAGCGCATTTGTACATCGTTTCTCAAAACATTTTCTCTCCATTTAAATGTGTTATGTTTTAATAATCAATTATTACACTCCAAACAAACACACGCAACTAACCAACACATTTATGGCCATCAGCAGGTGGTGGTATTGAACTGCTGACCTTGTGGTTAGTAGGCCCATGTGTAGCCCGCTATGCTACAAGGGCTGCTAATGTTTTCTGATCTTAACTTGTAACCTGTTAACTTTTCCTGACAAGCCTCAATAATCATGAAAATTGTCTGTGAGTTCTGAGTGGCCATTGGAAGGGATTATCAAATCCAACAGAGAAGTAGCACACTATTGGGAGGAATAACTGATATCAGAATTAAAGAAAGAAAGATGGAGGGTGGAGGCAGGTCTGACCTCAGAATCACAGGAATCACCCATGGGGAGAGGTGGCCTTGGGTTGATTATATGCCTCTAGACTCACAGAAGCATGGTGCAATGCAAGAGATGGCAGGAAGGCCCTGGGAGGTGAATCTTTGGTGTTTTGTTTTTACCTATAATGGCTAAAAGGAAAGTAAGGTATTTTAAACTGCAGCCTAGGAGAGAAAAGTAGTTTCTAACGTAGCCTGGGGCATAACTCGGATTAAAATAAGTCTGACTAAACAGGCTGGCTAATAGAAGACCAGGCCCTTCCAGAGACCCAAGGCTATAGACATATGAATGGGAATAGTCTTGAATGAAGAAGATAAAAATTGAACCAGATGTTTTTTAAAACGTATTTTGTGTCTTGCAGATCTTACTATGGATATTGGTTTTCTTACCTAATGTTGTAGACATAGACGTGTGATAGAAGAGAAAGATTATATGGAGTATACAAACCTGTTGTCAGCCTAGACTTGATTGGATTTGCTAAAAGGGGAGTTGCTCTGGGGAAGTTAGCTGCATAAGCCCTCTTTAAAATGTCAAAAATACAAAGATAATACTTTGAGGACTCAGTGAACCAATCACAGGGTTTTCAACCATCGCCTATGAATGAATGCATTTGTATCACACTGTTGGCAAAGAATATTGAAAGTATAATGAGCTGTCAGAAGAAGCACGGCCAGCATGCTCCTTAGAAGCAAAATCTCGTGTGCTTTGGGCCTGTGACTGGAGAGACCAGTGCCTGGAAAACAGTATCATGCTTGGAAAAGTGGAGGGTCAGTAAAAAAGACAACCCTAGGGGGGCGGGGGAGTG